TTAATCGTAAGAATAATCGATGGATTACTCGATTACTAAAATATTCGTTTACAGCAGCCCTACTATCAACTGTATATTATTGTGGTGAGATCTGGCCTCCAGGTCATCACATTTAGTGTCTAATCTTTTCAGATCCACTGATGGTTGCTCAACCTTACCCTGTAACATAGTGATGTCATCGGTGCATGTAGAGTGATGTCTCCAACTCGCCCATAGTATCCTTCAAGTGCGCGCATCCAGCTGAATGATTGCAATACTGATAGTTAATTCTGACTTCATTGCCGGGAGCTCAGCCTTGGTCCTCGACAAGTTTTTGGTCAGTTTCTCTGAGTTCAGTTTTGATTTCAATCCGGAGTGCAGATAGCAGCTTGGTCTTAAAGGCCGAGGAAGGAGTGTAGCCAGTGAGTTCATCTGGGCAGGAGGGAGAGTCACTACAAGGTGGAGATGTAGCCTGAGAAGCAGGTCTCTATTGCTGTGCAGACAGTTTAACTTTTGAGCTGCCTGATTTATGCTGTAGACAGCGAAGTAGAGAAGATTTATAAATCATTCACGTTCGCTCAAAGGAGGACCATGATTATCTTTCTATCGTTATGGAGAAGTTTGATGAATATTTCTTATCCCAGAGAAATATAAGAGAGAGATCCTGCTTTCACCAGCATGTTCAGTGGCACGGAGAAAAGACTCAGTGTTTCATCCGAGCGCTGTATGACCTATCAGAAACCTGTGAGTTCGGCGCATCGAGGGAGAACATCCAGGACCGCATTGTTGTCAGGATACAGGATAAAGAACTCTCCTGCCAGCTGCAGTTGATGGTGAGTCTAATGTTGGCATAAACGATACAGACCACCAGACAATCTGAAGAGGTGGCAGCTCAGGTGAGCCAACAGGGCAAGTCGGTGAGATCAGTGGAGGAGGTCCACCATAAGAAGAGATACATGTATTGGAAACCAAAACACAGTAAGCAGCAAGGAAATAAAAAGGGACAAATGAAGATAAATGTGGGAAATGTGGAAATGTACAGCATTCTAGAAACAATATGTACCCTGCAAAGGAAACTGTGTGTCACAACTGTTGTAAAATAGGACTCTGGGCCAGGGTGTATAGGACCAGAAAAGCAGTAAATGGCATTACAGAGACTAAGGACAAAGCAACCTCATATTTCTTCTAGGTTCAGTGTGAGATAATCATGAGAAAAGCAAAACATGAACTGTTCAGCTGAAAGTGGATGAAAGTCCAATTGAGTTTAAAATCGACACCAGTACAGACGTCAATGTGATAAACGAAGAAACTTTTCACATACTTAACCCTGTTAGAGCTCTGAGTCATCTGATCATGATCATGCTGACTATAGCACCAGACCTTGTCTTCTACAACATCACCAAACCAGTTTCAGCACACGCAAGCAGTTATGGGCTGGGAGCAATGCTGCTCCAGCTTCACAGAGAAGAGTGGAGGCTGATTTCCTACTGCTCCAGACTCTTCTCAGATGCTGAAACACGCTATGCACAAATAGAGAAAGAATGTCTAGCTAGTGTGTGGGGTTGCAGGGTTTCCCCCAGAAAACTTGCTCAGCCCGGTGGTCGGGGCACCAAGGTGGTCCACCATGTGTTTGTATTAAAAGATGTCAAGTTGACAGGAAATGTAAAAATGTTACTAATTATATGTTACAGGAAAACATTGCCAGTGAAATGCTATTTAAACCCACAACTAGTCTTAAAAAAATAAAATAAAAAAATATAATTAAATTGAATATCAATTATTTGCATTTCTGTTTAATCCAAATTAAGTCAGCGGCATCAGGCCCCCCAGGCCTTTAGGGCCCCATAAATGCTAATATTTTAACACAGATTTGTTTATTGAGATTATCAATGCTGCTAAATTTCATCTGATGGTTTCAGCATACATAAATTAAAAGATTTTAAATTGTTTAACATTTAAATGTAAGATTTTAAGGAGCGGGCAAGTTTACTTTGTAAAAGTTCAAAGAACAATATTCATAGTTGGATTGTTTTGTTACCATAGCAACAATCTGATGCTGTGAGTCTAATCTCAGTTTGTGCTCTGTTTGTTCACAAATACAAATTAGTAAATTATAACTTATTGCTTCTTGGCCAGTTAAACTACTCCCCGTCTCCCAGATTTCACTAAATCTAACACAGAAGCTGTTAGAGGCTCTGATGTTTTAAGCAGGAAGAGGAGCCCCTGCATGATGACCTAAATCATCATGCAGGATCCAAGGCTGTATGAGGCCTTGAGCGTGAGGCAACGAGCAGAGGCACTGGCTGTGTGATTGGTCCGCTCTGCGGCTTTAAATGCATAAAGTATAAACGTATCTTTTAGAAATAAATCTGCTCTGTGGGTGAAACTATGAACAACAGAGACACAATCCGGCTTTAAGATTTAGGAGAAAAAAGAAATTGAGTATTTTTTTTTTCAATTATTATTTTTTCTAAAAATAAAATAAGCAAAGCTTAGCCTGGCGGGGGGCCTAGTAAAGCATGGCGGGCCGCCAGGCTTATAATACACTTTGGTAAACCCTGGGCTTGTGAGAAGCTTGACAGATATCTTTGTGACCTAGATCAGTTCAGGCTGGAAGCTGATCACAAACTACTGATACCATTAGTAAATAATCACAGCACAATAACGTTCCCTGGTGGTGTCAGCGTCTTCGTATGAGACTTATACTGTTTCAGGTTTGGATCTCATATGTACCAGGAAAATCCCTGTCGCCTCTGATGCTCTGTTTCGAAGCCCACTGTCACATGACAAAGAAAAGAGTGACATGTACTCTGAGCTGGACAGTGATGTGGCGACTGTAATCTAAGGCATCCCTGCAACACCATCCAGGATGGATAGTCTTAGAATGGCAGCAGTTGATGGATAGCTTCAGGCTGTCAAACATATATGACATAAGTGGCCAGAGTACAGCAACAATGTGCCATTGAAGATGAAGTGAAAAACAAACTTTCAGAAGCTTCAGCAGAAAGCTGAAATAAAAAAGATAAACTGAAGCTTTTCATTCTACAAGCATTAAATCAAACATTTAGCTACACAGATCAGAAACTAATGACTACAATGCTGCTTCCCAACCAGAAGGCTGTCCATATCAACATCTACGTTGGTCATCAAGAGTACAACACAGAGTAAGGGAAGACAGAGAAATGCATTAAGCTGGAAAATAAATCAGTTACCAATGTTGGCGTGTTTGAGCAGGCGACAGATCCTGGCTTCGCGCTCCAGCTTCTGGTGATCTGTGGGGAAGGAAAAAAAAGTGTTACCCAAGTCCCCCTGAAATTTGGTGTCATCAGGTGTCATGTCATGTTTATGACAGTGTCATGTCAGTCTTATGCCCACCCCCTCAAATAAAGTGTTACCAATGATTTCTGTTAGGTTTAGTATTGACTCCAGATGTTTACATGACAGTCTCTAATATACATTAGAGTTTTAAGAGTGTTGAAGTACGATAACCAGTTACATCAAGTAGTGCAGCTGTACAGTTAAATGACACAGAATACCTGATTTAAGCTGGTTTTTGAACAGATCAAAATGTATTAATGCTCTCATGACACCAACAGTGGAAGAATATAGCAAAAATAACAAACCCTATTGTATTATTACAGTTAATTATAATTATGATAGACAATTGTCCAGATAACAGTAAACCACAGGATCATCTTCCACCCCCACTGTGGAGGACATAACTGCTGGCTCAGATGTTTATGAGGAGTCACTGAGGACATTTGTTTTCCAATTCAAAAAACACAGGCAATGCTGACCCTACCCCTAACCACTGAAAGCACAGAGGGATTTCCCTCCGTGCTTTCTGAGGGGAAGGCACGGAGGGGAATCTCAAACAGCTGACAAAGTGCAACCCAGAGTCCAGCGGACATTGGAGATGATATGTGGAAACAACATTCATGTTTATTCAATATTCCGTGAAAAGAATATCCACAGAAATGACCAGGAGAGGAGTTGGAGCAAAGTTGCTACTGCAGTTGATAAACCCGGTAACTTTTCAGCTGTTCATCGTCAACGTGACATAAATAGATTATAATGATTTTCAGTCAGGACTTCATGCTGGCACTAGCCACATGCATTGCAGGTAGATTGTAGTAAAACATTGATTAATGCCTGGTTTTAAAATGAGTTAACTGGACTTATAGTCATTATTTTGAGTCCATTGTTGGACGGCACGATCAAACCCGATCGAATCCGTTAAACATGGAATTTCTGTCGGATAGTGTGTGGTCTCAGATTTTTTAAATGGGCCGACAATCAGCTGACAGTTCTAAGATGATGTAGTGAGAGCTGGGCATTACGCTAAAGAAATGAGGAAGGGAAGAGCAGTGGAGAGTACCAGAGTTGAGCCTTTTTTTCATCCAGTGTCATCAATGGAAAGAAAAAAAGGCAGGAAGAAACAATAAGCCGATAAAATAAAAGGAGGTCGGTAACTTTCATTTATCGTACGATTAATTGATTTATTGTTTATTGCGACAGGCCTAACAGAAATCTGCTTCTCATTTGCCTGCGCCAGCCACTGGGTTATCATTAATCAAATCAATATCCAGCTTCAGAATGGATTTATCCTACCACTACAATTATCACAGGTGTGTAATAGTCTTAATTTTGGCTCTACTTCAGCACCACTGTGAAAGCATTGAGTTGCAGAGGAAGAGAGGCCACATTGCTGCTGAATTTTGTCCTTTATTACAGTCCAAAAATCAAACCCTTTGTTACAGAAGTGAAGTAAAACTATTGATAAAAAGATTTTTGTTCACATTCTCTAAAAGGTGATCATTTAAACTCTATTCAATAGAATGTATTTATAGAACAATTCACCACAAAGGCTGCCTCAAGGCACTTTACACAGAGAAATATGTAATCTATTCAATCCATAAATTCAGTCAAAAAGATTAGATTAAAAGTAAACACCACACATTATTATCTGATTCCTGGTAAACAATGCAGTCTAGTACGGGTGCGCCAATGTATAGGCCCAGTCGATTTCTTTAATTTTGGGAGATTTGTGATGTGAAGCCAATCTTATCCCTCAATTTTATCTACCTCAGCAAAGATCTAAAAATCTGTTACTGTCCTCTTTTACTCTGTTGTGACAAAGGTTTGACTGAGACTGGCACACCAGGTCATGTCTGCATGTTTGCAGTTAACAGTAGTGACCCCACTGTTACCAATTCAGCAACTTTCTTTCTATATTTTGCAGCATTTCAGACAAAAAAAAGGTAAAAATTGAACTCACAGGTCATGTTCTTAAAGAGCGGTAATCAGTGATTGGTCAGAAAACTGTAATTGGTGAACCCCTACACTCAAGTTTAGTTTATTACTGAAACTGCTTCAAATATTTTCTATCCAATGAAACCCAGCAGATTGCTTCAAGTTACTGACTTGCAGTAGGCCGTCAGACTGATAATGCATGCAAATGCCAGAATCACAACTACAATCAGTAAATCAATGTCTATTATATCTCATCTGCTCATCTGTGCTCTCCGCAGTTCTTCAGATACAAATTCACTTGGAATGGGCTGAAATCATCAGAACACAGGACCTCACAGAATGTCCAAGAATTTTGCTGATGTTCATTATTAAGAAACAAAAACCAACAGTTTTAAAAACACTCAATGTCATTCTGGATGATGTTCTTTTTTTTTTTTTTTTCTTTGTTTCGTCACACTTCGGACATGTCCTGCTGACCACATGGCTTTGGTTTCTGGGAAATCTAATTTTAGCCCTCTCACTCCCCCTCAACTGGTTATTCAAATTAGTTAAGCCAATGCCACGCTCATGCAAATAGGAGTCAGCCTGCAGCTTTAAAAACAAAGAGAAGCACTAAATACAGGGTGTCCCATGAAAAAGTGGCCCACATTACTATAGTATTACTGGCGGCCTTCCGTAAAGAAAGAACTTGAAATGCCAAAATCTTTACTCATGCTTTCCAGAAAATGCTGGAAATGATCCCCTTGTGCGTCAATGCAGTATTGGACGCGCCTTAAAATATCGTCATATATGCGACGCAACTCTGGGGCACCAGTGCTCTGAATTACATTCCGAATGTCGTCTTTCAACTGCTGTAAAGTTTTTGGGTTATTAGCATACACTTTGAAAAGTGTACAAAAAAGTTTAAAAAAAGTTTTAAAAAGTAGTTTAAAAAAAGTAGACTACTTTTTCGTGGCCCACCCTGTAGTACAACAGTTCATGAAATATGCTCCAACGCTGTAGGAACACATGTGAAGAGAGATCTAGGAGGACAGAGAGGGGACTGCATGGATCAGATTTGTGACCTCCCAGCCACTTCCAATGAGTTTTTCCTTATGCATCAGCATCTAAAGTCTTATTGTCCAGCTTTAGTTGGAATGAAAACTTTTTGATCCACTCAATGTTTTTCCCAATACTCCTCAACGTATTCTCCATGTGTTTTGTCAACCAGTAGAAGGTTTCTCAGGCATCAAGGGCATCTTCAATCCTTGTTCCACAGTATGCACCAGAGTGGTCAACAAGAAAGTGTGCATTCTAAACAACAGTGGAATGCACTATGAAGCAGCAGTTGTAATGGCTCGACACACTGGGAGCAGTAAAAGACAGCAACAGGACAAAGTCATTGCCACTCTGGATGAAATCTAACATACGGACACAATAGCAGTGACATAATCTAAACATTTTCCAGTGTTCATGTGAGTGTCACAAGTCAAGGTATACATGCCTAAATGCTTGAAATGTCACATGTACAAATTTCTCTGCTCGCTAGGCTAGAGGAGGGCAAGCAATTGTTGCCTCATCACGCAAGTTCCATAGGATATGAATGGAGAGGGAGTGGAATGGCCTCCCATGTGTCTCCCATGCATCTTCAACAACACTGATGCAAGAAAGGAGAAAATAATCTGCAGTTATTAAGGCATTTGCTGCAGTCTGTCCAGCTGAATAAGTTCAGTCATTTTACTGCTCAATGTAGACACCAACTCTCAGGACACCTATTTTGAAGGTTTCTGATGTGTCCTACTGGAAGAAGACCCCTCTAGGCAGAACCTTGCAGGGTCCAGTTCGCTGGTGGGTAGAAGAATTTACTCCTTCTTTCCCTCTTGAACTGTTTGCCTCTGACACTCTCTGCTTAACAGCATGGCTAATATTTTGTTGAGCAATATTTAATTTTGGAGCATTTCAGTTCAATTAACCACAAAAATAAGACGACCCACATACATGTTCTGATAGATAATCAGAAGTGCAGGTGTTTAAATTAGCTAATCAACCACCGCTAGTGTTCAGGCGATCACTTCATAATGATCGCAAAATGATGATTCAAAAACATAAGTCTGCAACGGACAGAATGTTCTGTTTGGTGTTTTTATGTACTTTTATGTGTGGGAAATGTTTTTGGGTTCTTTTAGTGTTAAATCCTGATGCACTTGAACTAATCTTTGCTCTGAGCTCCCAGGGCTGTTGCCATGGCAACAAGTCTACCTGTGACATTAAGCTAACAGACTGAGGTAAAAAAAAAAAGTCACCCGTTTTTCTACATTTTTCTCGTGGACTAATTGCATCATTTGTTCGTAGAACGTGGTGATATTCAGATCAATCATCAAATAGGATGAAATATTTCATAAAGCATATAGGAGCCAAAGTTTGTTACATTCTAAACCATGACTCCTACAGCGACAATTAAACAAAATTAAATTATTGGCCAATATCAAAAGAGAAAGTTGCTTAGTTCTGTCTTGTGTCTTTACAGAACTGACAGAAACCAAACTATTTATAGATTTATATGCAGAGAGAATATATATTTTACAAATCCAAACATCAGCATCTCAGCTTTAAGACACATTTTATAGAATCCAGTAACATCAATGGTCAATCTACTCACCAACTCTTCCAACCAGACCCAAAAAAGGTTTTGCATCTTTAATATTTGCTAAATATTAAAGACACATCATGTCTCTTCTACTGTATGTAAGTCAGCAGGACAAAAGGTTTTGCCAACCAACTGAAGGACAGCTGTGGAGTCAGAATCACATAACTGAAAAATACCAAGTTTTCACTGACAAGGATTCATTTGGTTACACAGAAGTTATCAATTCTGCTTTTGAAATGTTTAATAACATTTTGATTGTTATAGAATCTTGTGCTGTTGATGTTTTTAACACTTGAAAAATCAGGCAATAAAAGGCAAACGTGATAATTCTTCACAAAAAAACATTACTGAATTATGACAGTTTACATCTGTAGGCAGGCATTGAGCAAATACAGGCTGATTCCATAAATTAGAATGACTGAAAAGTTCCTTTGTCAGCAGTTCCATCACCAAGTGA